TGTTTATGTGATTGATTTTTTTTTTTTTTAGTTGGTTTATCTTTTGTAAAAATCTGAGAATAAACTGCCTGATCCTAGAATAAAACCCCAGATGTAATGATTTGCTCTGGTGGTACCTGAGTAACTGATGAGGTGTTTCAGCCACTTGCTGGTGAAAGTGTTGCTTGAGCTCTCTTGGGTGGGAGGTTCTTCTGTAAACACTTGCCACCCTGCCACTAAATTAACTGCATGATTTTAAATAATGTAAATTACAAACTTTCTGGTTCATTTTTGACTGTACTGCATTAATGCGCTACGATTGGTAACACAAGATTCTTGCCTAAAGGCAAAAATTCTGCCAGCAGATGCCATGTGTCTAGTCTAGAATGGTTTCAGAGGTGTTAATGTTTAGCATAACTACTAAAAATTATTGGGGTAATGCAAGTATGTGTGTGTGTGCGTGTGTGCAACCTGTGCTTGTGTCCCTTTATCAGCAGTAGATCACCTCCTTGCCTTTTGAAGATCTAGTGCTGCAGACTGCCAGTGTAGGTGGAAGTTTCTGTCAGGATGCCAGGAGGAGATGGGTTTTTAGCTAAACCCAGGACATTTGCCCCATCTCCAGTCTCAGCAGCATCAAACAGCCCCTGAAAGGCGCTTGCTCGGGCTTGGGCAGCTCCTTGCTTCCAGTAATAGGTGGTTAAGGTGTTGAAAACAGGCTTCAGCTGTAATTAAGGGAGGAAGCTTAGGCTGCCAAAGCACTGGGGTTACTCTTAAGCCTGCTACCAGGGAGCTAACAGTAGTTAGGTACAAGTGGATGGGGGGGAAAAACAGGAATACAGAGAGGATGAGAGTATCGAAGCAAGAATAAGCTGAAGGATCATGATGAGTGTCATTCCCGCTAGAGGCTGGCAAAATGGCATCAGCCTTTAGTGTGGGGAAAGGTGGAGGTGAAGGGGGTGTAGATAAGGCTCAAACTATGGCTGCCTTTTGTTTTTCTTTCTCTCCTAGAACACCAAAGAGCAATGTGAAATGCTGAATCCTTCCTCTGAGGAATTCCAAGTTGCCCCTTAACCTTGTGGAAATGTTCCACAGCCATTGTGGCTTGTGGAACATTTAGTGCAAGTAGCAGGGGTTGAGCGTTGCTGCTTCCTGTCCTGGTTCTCTAGAGCCTGGTGGGATGTCCCTCACCTAGCTGGGGACCTCATTCTGCTTGTGGAAGTGGGAATCCTTCCGAGTGGATGGAGCAAGCAATCCTTTGTTTCAAACTCCAGCAGCATGTGCCATAGGCAGATTTTCCGTATGTTAGCTGGTTGTCACAAGCAAAGGGTTCACAGCAGAAGAATAACTCGTTCATTTGTGGGCACAACCACATGTTGGAAAGCAGCCTTTTGCCCTTAATGCAAGACAGGTAGGATTTTTACAGCCAATCCCACACATGCTCCATCTGTTATAGTAACTACCGTAACCTCATTAATGAGTTTGTTACCAGAGCCAGTGTGACAGCTCTGTGCTACTTGCACAATGGGGGGTTTGTTTTTTAATAATTCAGTTCTCACGAGATTTCTGTGACAATTGCAGAAGGCTGCGATACTGACCCATTGGCAGTTTCATGGAATTTTTCATTTATGAATGTATTGTTCTTTCAGGCCAGCTGGGAATACAGTGAGTCAGGTTCTGATTTTAGCAACTGTGTTTTGTGTGTGTATGTTCTGGAACCTAAATAAATCCTCTGGCTGCTCTGTCCATATGCCGAAGGTGGAGAAGTGGGGCTGCGCTGATCTGGATATGCTGGTTTGTTCAGATCAAAAATGATCTGGTAGTTCTTAGAGCTGGTAGGCCTCTGTGTTTGTCCAAACACTTCTGTGCTGCAAGCTGCGCTGAAAGCGGTGCTTTTTCATGAGTGCGGGAAAGTCTGTTTGAGTTCACTACTAGTTCACTTTTAGTAGAAGAAAAGCAAGGAGGTAGAAGTGAACTGGATCATAGTCAGTGGCAGATCCTGGCTCTGTTGGAATGTGAATGTTAATTTCAACCATTTGGATCTACCAGAGTCTGAAAAGCTTGTTGAGGGAAGTGCACTGTTAGATTTTCTTCAGGTTTAGGAATCATAAATCTTATGATTCCTAAATTCTTATGCCACTCTTGCCTTGGGCTCCTTGTCCACCATATCCATTTAGGACATTATATGTGCATGTTGTAGAAGCTTCTGCTTTGCACTATCCCCCCTACATAAAACTCACTCCAAAGTTGAGATGGGGATTCATGGCCCTGAGATGTGGATTTGTTTTTCACTTAAGTAACTTAAATGCTGTGTTTCTCTTCCCTGTCCTCTGGGCTGCACTCAGGTTTGAGCTCTTCTCTACAGACATGAAGTTATAGTTATAAATCTCTGCCCTGAGGAAGTGATGCCCCTCAGTTATGAGAACCTGATCTTGCTGGTTCCTAGAACTGCTCTGCAGCTATTGATTTGCTGTACCAGCTTGACAAAGCTGAGTGAAACAGGGAGACGAAATGTCATGGAAATGTGAACTAGCTCCCCCAAATTCCTTTTCTCAAAGGAAGATTGCCTGGGCAGAGGGTAGCCCAAAGAATATGGGAAAAATGTAAGCCCCTTGGGAATCCCACAGGCTGAGCTATCAAAGAAAAGCAAGCTACTGGTCTCACATCTACATTTTGCCTCCAGAAGGCATGAACAATGCCTTTATGAGGTACCTGACTTTCTTGAGGAAGGTGGTGTGAAAGGGCTCCTTTACTTGAGGGTTACTCCTGTCCTTGCTCGGGCCTTTGCTGAGCCCCACAAGCGTGGCTGTGTCGTGGCAGGGCTCTGTCAGCTCTGTGGCTGGGGAAAGGGTGCTGCTCCCGTTGCTGGTGTGCCCTGTGCTGCCCTGATCCTGTTGCCGGGTCAGCAGGTGCTAACGTGCGCTTTCCTGGCAAGCAGTCTGGAAGTGCTGCTGCTCTGCAGAGATGAAGTTCAAGGAACAGCTAATTAAAACTACGGAGCTTGGCTCAGGGGCCAGTGCACTGGACATGTGGCAGCGTGGGTGGTTCTCTGCAGCTGCAGAGAACTGTTCCCCTGACACTAGGTACGGTCAGAGGTTACGTGTTTTATTGATCTTTCAGTCCTGGTTGTGGGGATGTCAAGCGATTGAAGCGTTGGTTTCTCAAACTTCACGAAGATTCAGAAGTAAGCACACGTACCTGAACTCTCTGGATCTGCCACCCGAAGCGGCAAGCTGGTGCCAAGGCGATGGGCAAAGCAAGCTCAGAAGGTAAGGGAGGACTAGCCAGGGGATGAACGAGGGTGCACTGGCCAAAGACAGACCAATTTATTAAGTATAATATTTTTACACTTGTAAATAATAAAGGTAGCTTATACCAATGGAAGAGTTCACCTTTACTCTCGGTTCTGGGACACCAGAAGAAATGCACTTGCCAGATGGGAGCAGGGCAAGGCAGGAAGGCCAGGAGTTGCCAGAACACCAAGCACAGGGCATGTGAAGGCATCAGCAGAGCAGGTTTCTCTGAGTATCTGGCCGCTCCTTAGGCCGGGGGGGTGCCTTTCCTGGCCCTCATGTCCAAGGACAAGGCTGGGACACAGGAGGCTTGGCATTAGCAATGCAGGACAGAGCTGTCAGGGGAAATCAGGCTTTTAATCCCTATACAGAATTTCCTCTACAGGCTCCCACAGTGAATCACTGGTGATGCTCTGTGTTCAGCAGCTACATCACTCTGATGCATTAGGAAATAGGCTTTTTCTGTATAGCTACATTGTACCACTCCACGTCTAACTGGGCACATGGTCAGAGCTGCTCATTAAAAAATGAGGCTCTGGTGCCTGTTAAAATGTTATAAATGTCCACTATTGTGGAAAACTAGTCAAAGTCCAGTTAAGTTGCATGGGCTGCAGCGATAGCTGCCTTCTCAAACATGCAGGTGTCAGTGGAGGTTAAGTCTAGATTCAGATATTAAGAACTACATATAGTTTAGGCTATTTTTAAAGCATTTTCTTAACACACCTTCACTGGATTCTTTGCTTGCCTCAGATGATTTACTAGCCAAGTCCAGGATAGGCACACTCAAGAGCCTGACAGGTCTTCAAAGGTACCAAGGATGTTTGTTGAAGTTGTGCAGTTTGGAAAAGCAACAACATGACAATGAACTGGTGGCTCAGGCCTTGCTGCCTCCTGCAACCTCTCTACCTGAAGGTGACACTGGCTTTGGCCTCTGCCCCAGACCAATGTAACTGGGCGGATCTGTGCTTCCCCCAAATTGTACGTTGAGCCGTGCACTCCAGCACTCCTCTAATCCTGGCCAGTGTCTTCAGCTGCCTTGCTCAGAGTGCCTAAATACCAGACAGCCCAGGCATGAAGTGTTGTAAGAAGGCAGAAGCATGCACATACAGGACAACAAGTATTCCCCATTCCCACAGAACAGTTTACAGCGAAGGCATATGATCTGTGGCCACGGTGTTCCAGCCATCCTGGGAAGAATGCAAGACTGGCCTTGCAGAGGTGAGTCCACACAGTCAGAGCCATCCCTTCCTGAGGACAGGTTATAAAGAGGTTCAGTAGATGTACCGGAGGAATGGAGTCGCAGAAGCATTGTAGCATCCTCATATTTGGAAAAAAAAAAGAAAAAGAAAAAGAAGGAAAAAAACCCAGTAGGATGGCATTTCTTCCCTTACCAAAGAGAAGGACTGAAACAGGCTTGTTTGTTCCAGCTAGAGGCAACAATTACCTGATAGGCTGTTGAAGCTGCAGCTCCACTGCTCAGGAGCTGTCTGCATCACTGAGAATGAGTCCCAGCCTGACAGATACGAGGATCTTATTGCAAGCATACAAAAGTCCTGTCAGCTGTCAGGTCACTATCCACACATGTACCTGAATGCCTTTATTGACCAAAGCAGGTATTTACAGTTTAGTGTCATGCTATGCTGGCCTGAAAAAATGCTTATACTGATTAAATACTAACAGACATCTCCTTATATACACAAGCGAGGGTGGCACGGTGTGCTCCCAGCAATGCTAATACGTGTAGCCTTTGCTGTAAAGCTGTGGAGGGAGGCTCCCAAGGTCTGGCAGGTAAGTGGAATTTTCATCGAGGTGAGAAAGAGGCACTGTGTCCTCCTCACTGATCTGCTGGTCAAACTCTGCCTTCAGAGTTGGCCGCTGATTATCAGGGAAGGCCAGAGAGAACAAGGCTTCAGGCTCACACACAAATTTGTACACGTAGCGCTCTCCAGCCACCTGCAGAGAAGACAGGAGGTGAATGCTGCAGGCACACAGGCAGCGCTAGGCAGTGCTCCTCAGCAGCAGAGAAGGCTTGCGAAAGTGTCTGGCTGCTCTAGCCCCTTGCCCTGAGATGTGTCAGAGTAAGCTTCTCCTTGTGCTGTCCTGCTTCTCTGCTGCTCTGGTATCCTCTGGGAAGTGGGACGCTGCCAGCTGACTCTCTGTTCAGATAGCAGCAGCAGCAACAGTCCCTGACCAGTCTGTGCTTTGACATAACTGCACTCACAGTTTTCCTCTCCAGTGCCCTGGATCTGGAAGAGACCATCCCTACCACCCAGGACCAACCCCCAGGCAGCCTTTCTCTCACCAGCATCAAGTCTAGACTGATATGTTTTTGCAGCTGCATACATTCCAACCCTCCTGACTGCAGACATATACAGGAAAAGAAAGAAATAGTGATTCCCCTTTGTTTTATTTCCCATAGGTTCCCTAGATTCAGCTTCTTTACACCTTCCTCACTGCAAAGAGAAGTTTTGGGAAAGAAAGCTCAGTGCGCCTAGCTAGATCAGGTACACTCTGTACCTGTAAGACTTCCTGTCTCAAGCAAGAGAAGCATCACTAAAGGCATAAAAACACCATCTGCTTTGCAAACTGACCTTCTGCATTATGCCTTTCTCATAATAGTAGCGAAGTGATCGGCTCAGCTTGTCATAGTTCATGGCTGGACGGTTCTTTTGGATACCCCACAGCCTGGCTACCTGTAAAATAAAGCATCAAAGTGCATGAATGTCTGTGAACCCAGTCCAAGTGCAAAAGAATATTATTCAGCTGATTCTCTTTTGAGGAATGATACCACAACACATGCAAAGTTTTACAACATTTAAGTAATAAACTCAAACAACAATTATATAGCAGCTTTTCAAGAAAAAGAGTAAAACTCAAACCGAAGCATCCTGTATCACAGAGAGGCAGTCGCCTTGCTACTACAGAGCTGATTTGCTGTCACCACTTCTCACTCTCCTTGAGGATGCTGAAGGACTGCTTCCTCCTGTGCTATGCTTAATATTCAAGAAGCACATGTTTATCAGGAGCCCAAGTATGAGGGAACACCTCCACTGGAAGACCCATGTGCCTTTCCTCTTCCTACATAATTTTCAGCTTTGTCCATGAGACTCAGAAATCTGTTGTAAGCGTATGTTGGCGCTGAAAGAGCCTGTAAAGGTCGATATGTAGCAAGAACGGTGCTAAATGCAGCTCTGATTGGAGCAAGGTATTAACAGATATTACAGACACATCCCAGATACTGTTAGATATCACTGGAGTTTTTGGAACTTGGCAGCGTTAGAAATCACACCTTAAATAATGTCATTTTGATATAAAAATATATTTAGACTAGGGTGTATTTTCTTCCAGATTTTTATGAAGGCTTCCGCAATCCGTAGGGTTCAAAACTCCACAGCTCAGGTATAAAGCGTGCTGAGACAGCAGAGATCACTGCAAGCTTGAGAGCGACGTGCCTAGGGAAGTGGGAGCAGTGGGTAATTTGACTTACTGCATTGCTGAGACTCTAAACTTACAAGCAGACTTTCCTAAACCTGCTGCCTGTGTCACCCTAGTGTTTTGACCTCTTCCAAAAACCTTGACTTGCTGCAGGGTTTAGCAAGTTACACAGGTAGGCAGGAGCCTTCATAGAGCAAAGGAGGAGCCACCTGGTAATCTGCAGCCTGAGAAACAAGGGCTGCTCCCCCGCAGCCTGTAGAGAAGCTAACTGGTTTCACCTCTTCTGGCTCAATTAGCTTGAATTCCATCCCTCTACCAGTCCAGGCAATGAAGTGAGAATTGGTCGGATCATCCAATAAAGCCACAAGAAATTGCCAGAGTTGGAGAGATCCCCGTCTCTGATACGGAGGTCCTTCCCGGTACCCTCCAGCCTCCTGCTTCATGTCTCCTGCTGAGAAGAACAAACAAGGTGTTTCTGAGGGTATCAGTGCAAAAACCTTTGCAAAAAAAGAGAGCATATTTCACAAATATTTACCTGTAACACTTCAGTTCACAGAAAACAGAGCAGCCAATTCACCAGCAGCTCTTCCAAGAGAAGCTCTGATGAACCTCACAATTAAGTTACTTTTGTTAGAAGGCATGCTTGCTACTAAAAAAGCTCAAGAGAGGGGATACCAAAAAGCCAGCTATGAGCCACAGCTAACACACCTGCAAGAACACAGTGTAACAAATTATGTAGACAGTGGCCAAGCAGCAAAGATGCTGGATAACCCTATCTTACACCCAAACTGCGAGCCATTCTTTCTCCAACCTTCACATTTTTCTGGAACAACACAGACATCCTCAGTAAAGGACCTCATCTGCTTGTCGTAGCTGTAGCCTGAAAGAGAAAGCAACGTAGTCAGTCACAAAGACAGCGTACTGGAGGTCAAAGCTGTGCAGGGGAAAAAAGACAGTCACTGAGTTTCTTACCTAACGTATCTTCTGTATCTGAATGGTTTGGATAACTCTCAACGTTTATGTATATGGAAGGACAGCCAGGAACATCTACAGAACAATTAACAAGCTCACTGAAATAAAAAGCACAGAAGGCAGAACGAGCTTGCTCTGCAGAGGTGGATAGGTAGGCGCAGCTGTCTAACCAACATCCTCTTAGTGATGTCCTAAAGGGTTAGTGGCAGACTGATAAATTTTTTATGTCTCAGCCATCCCACCACAACTTTATATTAATCTTCCAGTCGTGAATTACACTAGTAAATGTTTGTGGTACTATCATGTGACATCCTTCAGAGTAGCCAGGATAGGCAGTCAGCTACCTATACATACACGCCACTCTTAATAGAAAATCTTGGACAACAGGCTAAATTTGTATTATACCTCTCCCTCATCTTAGTTAAAGACAACCACATGCTCTGCTACTGTTTCCACAGGTGGGAAGGCATCACATTTTTCCAGGGGTACCACGACGATGTTAATGGAGAGCAGCAGCATCTGAATGTTTACTACAGACAATGTCTCACAAATGTCTTGTCAGATGTGTCAAGTCTCCCTGGCTTTTTAACATCATGGTAAGACATTCTCACAAAGAGTTGAGAAAACATAAAAGAAAAAATAGCCTGAGTTTGAAAGCAGCATATATTGTTGCCTGGGCATTGCAATATCTACCTTCCGTATCTTGTGTTTTCTGAATCCTGCATTTTCTGAATCAAACTCATTTTGCATCCAAAGCTGAAATGGAAACAGTAACTGGGAGCTTTGGAAAGATTTACCTTTTGTTTCCCTCATACTCCTGTGCATAGTCATTGCTTTCAGCAGATGTTTTGCTGATGCTAAGGGTAGAAGGGTACTCTGAGCTGACAGACTGTGTATTATTACAATCGTAAACTACTCTCACAAAAAGCATTCTTCTGGGTTTGCACATTTTCTTTCTCTCTCTGGATAGAAGAACTCAGTGAAAATGTAGTATCAGCATAGCTACAGTGGTGGATTCTATACCATCATAGGAGATCTTTATTTATTTCTGCTAAAGGAAACAATTCAAAATGTTCATTAAAATACCAGAAATCAGAAGTAACCGTCCCTCTAGAAAAGGGCATTGTGATGTTAGGCAGCAAGTCTTTGGACAGGTCTGCTGAAAAATGATCTATCCCTTGTGGGGAAAAAAAAAAAAAAAGAGTGTGATCTGATTGATCTAGTATCTGGAGAGTTATTTTTGGAATCACAACATTTTTTCTCTTGTGATCCTCTGAAATCTCTGCTGTCTGCTCTGTGTGCCCTGTTTTTACAGGAAGTAGCACATAGAGGCTGACACTAGAAGAGACATAGAGCAGCACACTTGCACTTAGCTGAGTCAACCCAGACCCTGCTCTGTGCGTATGCCTGTCCTTGGAATTGGACAGTTTATTGTCAGTCACCAAAGCCTCTTCAGCCAGTTTTAGTTTTAGACTTTTAGATCTGTTTGTCAGAACAAAGCTGGTTTGTCTCACACGGTAAGCTCTCGCCATGACGTGCTGATCAGCTTTCCCGGGGAGTTTCCAGTGGGTGTCAGCTTTCGCTGCGGAGGTCTTTGCAGCCCACACCCACCAGCTGGGCTGGGAGAGCTGCACCTTTGCCTCCATTTTGTGACTTAAACTCTTCTGCCTCCAGCCGGGGAAAAGGCATGGCGACAGACAGTGCCATGAGCGGCAGCTCAGAGCTGGGTGGTGCAACTCCCTGCACCGAGAGCAGCCTCCACTGCCAGTGCTCGAAGGTCCCCTCCTGCCGCAGGGATCCGAGACAGTTTTCTGTACAATCTCTGAGATATTTGATTCCTTCCTTTCTGCTGCCATTTACAGCATGTTTTCAGTATAATTTCTTCAAAGCTGACCTCACTTCTTTTTTACAACCTATCAGTTCAAACATCTCCGCGAAGACAAAAACTGCCTGTGAAACTGGGAACACCCTTTTCTCCACTTCTGATCATGTGAGTGGGCTAGTTATGCATTTTGAGAGTCTCCACAATGGCTACTTATTCCCTTGGAAAAAAACCATATGCCTTTAATCTAGTTTCAATGGTCTTAACATCACCTTCTAGCTCCCATTTCTTGTTAAAACTATCTACCAGAAAGTCCTTCTCAGAGCACGGTGTGCTAAGTGAATATCCCAGCCATCTCTCGGATGCAGTAAACAGAACTGTTTACATTTCCTGCTACATAGCCAGTTTCCCAGACCACAGACAATTCTGAAGATGAAGTAGTACTGTTTCAAAGCTCACAGACCACCACTGATGGATGTTCACCTAGGAGGCTGCTCACTCCCACTGATGCCTGGTTTACATGGTCAGGTAAGCTAGTTCTGCCTACCTGAGTCATACGTGTAGTCCAACTGCTCCTGCTTGATCACCACAGCTTCTGGGTACTGACAGCTGCCGCTCGCCTGGCTTCCTTGCTCATACCGCGGGTCATGGTACTCCTGTTTGAAGCCCTGATGAGGGTAGTGGAGGCAGAGCTCAGACATCTGGTGCTGGTATGTAGTAAGGTCTTCCTGGATCATGCCCTGGGAGGAGGGGAAGGAACAGCCCATCTCCACAGGTGGCTGGTACGTAGAGCTAGAAGCGGGGAGAGGACATGGGATGAATGCTTTCTTGGCCCTCTGATCTCAACCCTGGTGCAGGTCTGATTGAGAGACAGAAACTTCCTTGGCCTCAGCCAGTTACTAGGCCTGCAGGAGCTGCACACGTAGCTGGAGCAAAGAAAAGACCCCAAGGAAAGAAGTTCCCAACGTATCATAGGCAGTCACGCTGTCCCCCTGTGCAGCCACCTAGGCCAGAAAACTTGCAGCATAAACTCCTTTTCTGATTAATGGTTACTCCCATGCACAATAGCAACAACTCTTCAAGTGGAAAACTGAAGGAGGTGTCTGTACTGAAAAAGCCATATAATAACTCAGGCAAGGAGCTGGGACTGTGTGCAATAGCGTCAGGGAGCTCCTCGCAGGACAGATTTTGAAAAGCATTCAGGAGAGAGAGGCACATCTTGACTGATGTCAAGACTGCTCTCAGCATCAGGACAGCTGAGGAACAGCACTAAGGGGGACAAGAAAGAGGCGAGCCCAGATCTACTCAACATGGCTTTGAGCAATCCAGTGCAATAAATGGCAGCTTGCAGTCTGAGCAAGCTGCCACGAGCTGACCCACCAGTTAGTTTGTACTGGAGCACGCGTGCACTGCCCCTACGCAGCAGACAGACCAGACTGTCCTCATAACGCTTCATTGTTCTATAATGCAGTAGCACTCGTTTTTTCCTGCCCTGTGTAAGCTGTGTTACCTGGCATAAAGGCACTGCTCGCCATTGTGGTACTGGAATTGCTGCTTATGGTTGCAGGACAGCGTGGGGTCCGAGGAGGGACTCTGTGGCTCCTTTTTAATCTTAGCAGGAGGACTGTGAAAAGCCACTGTGGGAGAGAAATGAAAGATCAAGCTGACGCTTTTCTTGTTTGCAGAGATGCATCAGCCGGTAAAAAGTCAGTTTTCCTTCTCCTTGTTCATCTGCCTTTCAGAGAAAAAAAATTACCAGCATGCACAATTGTTCACTGGACTTTCCCGAGATCTGCCTGTGGTTTAGTAAGGTTTCTATGATACATTAACCTTAAAAGAGCAAATGTAGGGAACTGTTAACATGTTCTGTGGTAATCCAGAGTATTTTGAAAAGGATTTAGAGTGGGTATTTTCTAAGCTGTTGAGGGGTGGCACATTTTCTGTATGTACGCACATACTCTGTTTCTCACCACAAAAAAGCAAAGGTTTGATTTGCATCGTGCAAAACACTGCTTCATTGCTATACCTGGTAAGCATGTCTTGTGAGTAGCATTACCATGTAGCGCTGCATTAAATTATAATTCACTAATATGACAACACATTGTAAATTTCCTGACAGTATTATTTGTCCTCAGGACAATAAATATAAGTTTTATACTTCAGCACTCAGGAAAAAGGCCAGGTCCTTCTACAGGGTACTGTGATTCCCAGACAGGAGGCTGCCATGCTGGCACTCAGCAGCTGCCTGTACAATTTCCAAATGCAGGTTTCTCTTTGTTGAATCTCTTCTACGCTAACAGCCCAACATCCCTTGTAACTGCTCTGCTCATCCAAATAGCAGTGACAGTCCAGGAAAAGTTAACAAGTTTCCTTTTTGTTGGCAGTGCACTGGTGTCTGGCCGTGGCCTGATGCAGACCAGGAGAGATATTTCTGGTCTTGTTAGAATTTCATGAATTACAAATGTGGGTTACAGCACCGGAAAGTAGGATGTGGGTATTGTTACTTCTAATACTTAATTAAATCCAGCAGGGAGCAAAACTTCCTTCACTTCTGACTGAAGGCTGTGGTATCTTCTGCCTTTTCCTCTGAGCTCTGCTGCTAGAAGGTCACTGAAACTTTGGAAGGAAAGACATGTAACCCCAGACAGCAATATAGCTATAAGCTTCTTTTTCAGACAAGGGAAGTATCTGCCCTCCAAATCAAAACTGTAAGCTTTTAACAAAGCTAGCTCCAGTTCTTCTTCACCAGCTTACTCCCACCTCTTCGAACTGACACGCTGCTTACAACACCTGGAATGTTTGGACCAGCGCTTACAGTTTCAAGGATGGAAAGTAACATCTTGATCTGTAAATATCTCATATTTTTGCTGAGCTTATTTCAGCACTGACCTGAAAGCACTAATTGTCCTTTCAGAAGCGCTGCAACAAAAAGCTGTCAAAAGGACTGCTGCTGTCTCTTTTAGCACAGGATATTAAGGCCACTTTCTACTGTGAATATCTCTTCCCCAAATTAATTTTCTCAACAAGGGGGAAAAAAATCCCACAAAACAATCCTGACTCCTTTTCCCTGCCTTCAGTTTCAGCCTACACCAGAAAACCCTGTCTTTACTCCTTACATCACACCAGCAAAGCAAACAGCTGGACAGAATATAAATAAATAAATCTCTAAAATACCAGAGCCTCGTACTATTTCTGGCTCCTACTCCTTCTCAAGGACAACCGGCTCCCAGAGCCTATCCTGGGGCTGCCATCACTCACAGCAGAAGGGCCTGTTCACAAGCAGCTCCTGGCACTGCCCAAACCGAGGTCAGGTGTGCGTGCACTGACCCGGTGGGGCTGCCCCACACCTGGGATGGATTCAGTATCCCGAGCATGACACTCCTGCATCTGTGCAAATCTCACAGATCCAGGGAAGGGTTGAAAGAGAAAAGGATCTTTCTATGCCTGGGATATCTATTTCCCTTCTGTCTGCAGCAGCTCTTTTCAGTGTGTGGAGTAAACAGACATACAGAACCCATTTTAAAATGCCAATGTAATGGCTGAGTCTCGGGGAGGGGGGGGA